AAAAAACCATCAATTTAAAGAATAAGTTTATTAGATAAATAATTATAATTGACATGTATCTTAATTAATGTCAATGATAAATTAATTTAAGTAATTAATCTGTAATTAAAATGTGGTTTTTTAGGTACTTAGAATATTTGCATTTATCACTTTAAAACTATTTAAAAGTGAGAAAGTGAAGATACATGCAAGGTAGGGAGAAAGAAGTAAATAAAAGTGATTATAAAAATAGTTTTTATTTAAATTATATAAAAACTGGACGACTGCCTTCGTTCCAGGACAATAATAAAAGGAATTTAAATAATTTTATTCTTATAGGGGTATAAATACAAAAAAAATTTTGTTTCGAAAATAATAATAATCATCTTATAGCGTTGTAAGAAAAATTACTGATGAAATAGTAAATATAATTGTCATGAATTAATGAGATATTATATGAAATTTAAAAATAAATATTTAATTAATAGTATTTAATTACCCATGGACAGTAAGAAGGATAAACACTGGATGAATAAAAAGGATGATATGTATAACTTTTATAATTTAGATATAAAACACCACAAAGTCCCATCTTCTCGTGAGAATAATATAAAATTCTTTATCATTTAAGCCATATATATTGTGAAGATTTGTTAAACGCGTTGAAATAGACTAGATAATGTTAATTTTAATATTATGTCGCAAATATCCCGCTCTCTTACGAATAAAACAGATGCTTTGTGTATAATTGAGCATAATAAGGCAATTACTGAATGGTTTGTTACCTGTAAAAAGATAAGTTGCATGACACAATTATACTACTAAGAGGTAAGTTGTAATAATTGGTTAAAATATGCACTGATGGGGATAAAACCCATCAAATTCTCTCATATTTGGGATTCTCATATGTTACGGTATGCCATAATATGAATTAGTCAACAAAAAAAATAATGCATACTTAAGTTGTAGAAAGCCTTAATAATTATTTAAAATATTGTAATAAGTTAAAAAAGGATTAGAAGTTTGTAGAAAAGAAATTTAAATTATTGAATTATTGTGGAAATTTAATAATAAAAGATTTGTTAATGAGAGCTATACATGCAATTTGATTAAGGGTTAAATTTATTCTATTTGATTCTTTATTTTCTTTTTTTTTATAAGTTTAATTTTCAAAAAACTGATCCAAATATTTAAATATATTGCTTTTAATTTATACATAATAAATCCAAGAACTTGATATAAAAAGTAATTTAATTTAAAATTATATGAATATTCAGGGTTATCTAATCATGTAAAGCAGAAAACAATTTATTAATATAAGGGATGACTTTTTTATGAGGTAATCTAAAAATAATTTAAAATCTTTGTTGTGTATGATGACATCACACACATGATTGATGTGTGAAAAATGGTATGCAAAGTGTTGAGATGGCTTAAGAGGATTGGTGAAGACTGAAACAAGGTTTCAGTC